AACCTTACTAAATGTCAATTTATTCTTTTATTCACCCGATAGGCATTAGTCTTTTTGTAAAATATATTCTTTGTAATATGAGACTTTCTATAATACGAAAAATAGCTTTAAAAATACGAGATCAATTAAGCCAAACAAATTTCGTTGATAACGAAGCCGAACGTATAATGATGCAAAGCGATGTAAAGATTGATTTATCGATTGAATATTTGGAAAAGCGAATTAAACAGACGATCCTCGCTGCACAACAGAGACGTCTTGGCACTCTTACCGCTTACAGAGATTCCATTGAGAGTTCTGAATTTTTTAAGAAAACATTCAGAAGAGCCGAAATAATTTTCGAAAGCTTAAATAGTTTATGTAATATGGCTGAGGATTTGGATTTTTAATGTTTTTTGGGTTTAATTCGATATCCCGACAAACGAAATCAAACAAAATAGAACTGGATTTGTTCATCCGGATTATTCATATTGCCGAAACTATTTCGGCTCATTTGAAACAAGTTACGACATAAACCGTAATAGTTTCGACTCAAGTCGAAATAATTTCGACATGTATAATGGGGACTGCATGTTTTTCTATAGATGGGATGAATATCACATATCGACATAAACGAATAGACGAATTATTTATTAAGCATACCTGAAAATAAAAGAAGGTTGTAATTTCTTCATATGTACGTTTTATTTTCTACTATAGAATTGGTTGCATTTCAATAAAGATATATTATTTTTTTAAAAAAAGGGTTTAACTTACAATAACATGGCTAGATGTTATACATCTTTTCAGCATTAATAGATTTTAGATTATTTAAAAAAAGGACTGGTTAAATCTTAATTCCAATAATACCCAGATTGAATATCAATGTTACAACATGTACAGGTGAAAATATCCAACAATCCAGGATTAGGTCCTTTAACGGTTTGGATAACTTGAAAATTGTGATTCCATGACTATTGGTGTCACAATCTAAGCCACTGGGTGTTATATATAAAAATCAAAATTATATATGGGACTCCCCCCACAGCAAAAGGTGATGGGCCAAAAAACTAGAGTTTTTAATAAAAATTTTTGGCTCATTCCCTCCTTTTGCTTTGGGGGCCATATATGGTGTTATATAAAAAACTTATCAGCTAAGATTTTCATATATTACAATTTTACTTAGGTATATGTGATACTTTGCGATCTTTAAACAGATGCGTATTGTCATGGTGGAATTTAATTTACTACGATAATATGAACGAATACAATGGGGAAAATAAGTTAAGGTTACTCGCCAGAGGCGTGACTATGGTAATTTGGTCAACATCTGAGATATTATGATAAGAGAAGAATTATCATGAGTAAAGATGCTGGTGAAGTGAAATTTGGTGAAATTAATTTCACCAGAAGCTCTAATCATGGGTTAGTATTCCTATGTGCCTCTACCTCGCACATAAATGTTATAACCTTACCCAAATTACGTTCTTTAAATAACTTTAACTAATAAAGAGGCTTAAGTGTTTGCATTTTGTTGTTTTCCATGGCTCATCTTTCTCAATGACCTTCGGCCGACAAGCATCCAAGCCTCCAAGAGTTTACTATTGAGGCGCGGTTTATCTTGATTTTTCGGAAATGTCACTTTTAGCCCGTAACAGTAACCTTAACTGCTCATGGTTTAGGATATATTGTCGTGCTTGAAGTAGTTATCTGCAACTTCAAACGCTTGAAGTTAGGCCTAACTGAAATTAGCCCCTGAAATTAGATCTTCCTGCATGCATTAACTAGCAAGTTTAGGCAGGTTAAGCTAGAGCTTGAGTCACAACTTCAAGCAGATGCTAACTTCAATCACTATAAACATTGTTACAAAGCCATATTTTTATTTAATGTTTACTTAGTCACTTTTTTAGAACTTGAATTTTTCGTGTTTATAATAAAACATGGCTTCATAACTTTGTTAATAGAGTTATAATATTAATCATTACAAAATTTAGTCCTGTTACTACTTAATAGTATGCATATAGATGTACTACAGTATCAAAGTAAATTGGTATTAAACTTTTAGAAAACTCTATTAAATGTTTATTATTATTATGAAAATTTAAGATATGATTTGTAACTGTCCAATCTAGAAGTTGGAATCGGTTTGTTCAATTCGACTTTAAATTCTAGAAATAACGCTCCGGGTGTAATTTAAAATTTTGGCCAGAATTAGGCTTAATTCGGCATAAATTAAGCTTAATTTGGTCTAAATTTTAAACCACACCCGAGACGTTATTTTGAGATAATGCAGTAATTGACTTTAATAGCAATCTATAGTAAATAATGTTTTAATTCGGTTGTAAATCTAAATTCAATCCAATTCTGTTTTTGAATTTCCAACCAGTTTTATTCTTTGACAGGCCATCCAGATGGAATCCGAATTTGATTTTTCAAGTCCAGATGGAAATCCGTATCCGATTATATATAAAGCTAATCCGTTATTTGAATTCTTTGACCAATTTGAATGTCTAATGACATTTAAGTGACACAAAGTAGCCAATAAAAAGAAAACTATTCTAAGTATTTAAATCTGAATCATCTGAATATATGAATTTATCTGAATTTAAAGATCAACCAGATTAGTCAAATATGTTACAACTGTTCTGGGATACCCTAAAAAAATTTACTGAGATCTATTCAGCCGAATTCGATAAGTTATTGATTAGCGTTAGTGCATAAGGGCAGTTTCTTTAAGGTTAGTTTATTCATCTACAATGCATAAAGTACAGGGTTTAATATTGAACAAGGTCGTAGTTAATTGCGATGGGTTCGATGCAAATTTGGTATACATTGCTCTATCACGTGTTGGTGAAATGTCTAATTTACATGTCGAACAATTTGATTGGGGATTAAAAGGGCGTATCAAACAAACTCCTTGTATAAAATCTATTATAAAATTTTATAAAAAAAGGTTTAACGTAGATCCCAGTATTGTTTAATATTTTATATCATATTTATCCATAGTATTTTTTTTATAAATAAACACATCAATTTCATAGATAAATTTGTAAAAAAAATAAAAATAAAATCAGAAGATAAAAAAAACACTAATGAAATTGAAAGGATTATCAACGAGTTCTGTGTTGATCTGAATATTAACATTGAACATATTAACAGTTATATTAAACTTAAATCATTTCATTGCGATGAAACAATTGATTATGAGGATTTAGCACGCGAATTATCAAATCATTCTATGTATCATTATGATTACTCTAAATTAGCTGGACGTATAATTACCAAATACTTACAACTAATGATCAAATCAAAATTTAGTGATTTTATTGAATCGGTTAAGGAGAAGATTGACAAGAAAATATATGTGTTTATTTCAAACGAAAAGTGTTGGTTGAATGAAATACCAGATTTATCGAAAGATTTCGAATACGATTATCATGCGATATCTCAATTTAGAACAACCTATCTTAAAAAGATAAATCAAATAGTGGTTGAATTACCACAATATCTGTTCCTTCGATCGGCCATTGTAATAGTATATGATTCCAAATACTATGCTTTAAAAGGCGGTGAGAAGGAAATCGCTTCTATAAATAATTTTTATAATGATTACAATGATGGAAGTGAATTATATTGTTTATTAGAAAAAACACGAAATGACATTAAAGAAATTTATTATTATCTATCAGAGCGTAAAATAATTTATGCCACACCCACATTGATCAATGCATGTTATAATAATATGCAATTAATGAGTTGTTTTCTATATCAGTTCAAAAAGAAGTTGATATCGCCTGATGGAAGTATAGATTTCGATACACTTTACAGTTTATTTTCTGATATTCAAAAGATCATTGGTGTGCATGGAGGTGTATCAATTTTGCTAAACCCAATTGTTAAAGCGAATCAAAATATATTTATTTCCTATCTTAAAATGCTTAGTGAAACTGTTAAAACAACACTTGAAAATAATAGGCAGGGATTGATTTCAGTTTACATATCAGTTTGGCATTCAAATATCCATGATTTTCTAACGATTAAAAATGAAAGGGCTTCCAATGAAAAATATGTTCATAGACTAACTACAGGTATAATGGTACCTGATTTGTTTATAGAATGTTTTGTGAGCAAAAAACATGAAGTCTCTTTGACCACAGTACATTAAAGGAGAATGGCTATGATTTATCAGTCGTATTTGGTAAAGAATTTGAAAAGCTATATTTAGAATATGAGGAAAAAAAACTTTACCTAGAGCAGATATCAGCATTTGATCTGATGACTAAAATTAGTATCGCAAATTTTAGTACTGGAGGACCATATGTTATTTTTAGAGATGTGGTTAATAGGAGATCCAATCAAATGAATATAGATGTGATAAACAGTTCCAATTTATGTT